TTTCTTTATTAATATATATATATATATATATATTTAACATAATTAAAAAAAAGCATATTTCATATTATTATTGTATAAATATAAATTGTAGTCCAAAATTTAATTAACCATGTTTAATTTTGTATGTTTCATCCCACAAGAGTGGATGAAACATACAAAACGCATTGTCCCAGTCTATAACTTATGAAAATGATAAATATATTTAAGTATCTAAAAAAAAAAAAAAAAAATACGTAACTTTTCCAGCTGTTAAAAGATTTTATTTAAAAAATAACTTTTATATTATTAATCCAAATAAATAAATTTAAATTGTACGCGGAGCCACTTATTATGAGATTTTGTTATAAAAACACACTTTTATATTTTTAGTTATTATAAAGATATATCCCTTGTTATGTTTACATAACAGCAGGGAAAAGTAAAAGGCGATAGTTTAAGGACCATAATGACTGAATCCTTCAGTTCGATATAATTACCGATTTAAATCGCAAATGATGTAAAAGCTTGATTAACACTTGTAGAAAATACTGAAATACATGAATTATCATAATAAGAAAGTTAATATTTGATAGATTTTATAAAAAAACTTACAGCAAAAGCATCAGATCCAAACCAAACAAATATTGGGAATTGAACAAGTGAAAATATAGCTGCCGTTGTTCCTAATATTCCTAGTAAGCAATTAAACTGCTTCGATGGAAAACTGAAATATAAAATTATAAAAAAGATATTTTTTTCTTCAAATTTCGAGTTAAAAAATATTAAAGTATAAATTTTTAAAATCATAGAATTAAAAGGTGTGCACGGGGTTTTGCTACTATTGCCAAAAAAAAAAACACCGATTATTCAGTAGTGTTTTTTCTTTAAAGCCCTGCACACACCTTTTTATAGAAAAACAATATTTTGTATTAGAACTTACCAAATTCGAAGATAAACTACACTAAGAGCATTTACTAATGGTCGATTAAATATAAAAATGAACAAGCTTGCATATACAATATGAACAGAGTTGAAAAACATGCATATAATTTGTATTAACTGAACTACCGTTGTTAAAAACAAACACCAAAATACTGTTGACCTTGCCATCTTAATTCTTTTAACCGGATCGTCTTCTGTTAATAATATAATTAACATATTTTTTTTTAGAAATTTAAATATGAAACAATTACGAGTAATATAAATGAAGCGTTAAAGTAATACAGAATACGACTGAAATTACTATGAAGCTACTTTTAGAAAACATAATTAAATATTCGTATTTTATTTGAATTTAAAATTACCATTCTTTGCTGCATTGAGGCCGTAATCTAACCACATTCCCGCTAAGGGTGCGATTAAAAGCATTGGAATATGACAGAAACCAAACCATTCTATCAAATTGCTCACTAAAAAAAATAAAAGAAACATCTTAATTACTATTATAAATTCATAGAGCACTTGTTAATGTTACAAATTATAAATTTATAATCACCAGTTACAACATCGTCTGTAATACTTTCTACCCAATGATCGAAAGTTCCTCCATACACGGCGAGACCTAAACCTAAGACACATGACCAGATAAGATGAAGTAAATAATCCAAAGATAAAAATGACTGCTGAAGATTATGTGAATCAGGTTTGATAACATATGATTTATTTTCACTAGTACTTCCATAATCTATGAAAAGTAAACACTGAAAGTAAGAACTGGTTTAGCATAACTTTAAAATATTAGCCTAAGCATTACCTTTTGTCTTTGTAGTAGTAATTGCTGATTTTTCCAAATTATTTTCAGCCGTGTTATCAATGGAATCGGCAGATTCATTTTTATGAATTGATGAAGATTTCTCTGATACAATCATGGAACTATCAAAGATATCGGGGGAATCATCATCAGAAGTTTCGATCGTATTTACAGGAAGTAAAAACATTGTAGGGATGAGCATTAAGCCAGATAACCCAGCCAAGAAAACGCATGATGTTTTCATATCAAAACCGTAGGGATACATACACTTAAAATAGGAAAAATAATTATTAATTTTATTGTTTTTCATTAAAACATTTAATATTAAATAGCAAAACAGAATTTTAAATTATCACAAAAGTAAGAAATTGGCCAAAAAGTCCAATTGGGGATAATCACTGTTCTTATTGTTTCAGGGGCAATAATGACAGGAAGTAATCACGCTAACCCTTGAACAACGAGTGGAGCTTGCTTTATTGTTTGGAGACAATCATAGTACAACACGGGCCTTCACATCAAGCTGTTGGCAATATACTTGCAAGAATATTGCCAACAGTTTGATGTAAAGGCTCAAAATTTAAGAAAACATTCAGTATCTTGGATGAAAAACTCCACTCGTTCAGGAGTCAGCATGATTAGTTCCGGTCGTTATTGCATCTGAAATAATAAGAATAATGATTACCCTCATTTGGCAAGTAAATTTTCGGTCACACTTGTATAAGTATATATGAGAAATATAATTTATAGCAATTTTAATACTATCTCTTACTTTAGCTATGAGGAATATAGCTGCCGAAGCACAGAATGCTCCATTGTAGAGAGAGATAACAGATGATTTTTGGCTTGGAAATAAATTTGCAATCTGAAATACAACAAAGCATAAAAAGAAGAAGTTAAATATTTATAAATTAATGTTCTGAATTTTAAAAAAACCTTTGTTATATGTTTATAGCGTATAAATCTCTTTTACTAACAGAAAAATCTTTACTTACTAAGAAATTATTCATTCGAATTTGACTCCCTCCAAGTCCAAGTAATAAACAACCAGGAAATAAAAGGTAAGGATTTGCTAAAAGATATAATAATAAAATAAAAGATTAATAGAAAACATTATCATACAAGAGGAATAAAGTAAATTAACTGTTATTACTGATATACTGAATATTGTATATAATAATATATTTAATAGGAACATTTCAAATAAAGAAAGAAACTTACATTTGGCAGAATAACCGATTAGAAACCATCCTGTTGTTACTTGTACGCTAAACACGAAACACTAAATTAGTAATTTTATAAACACTAAAAAAATGAATAGAGATTTATATTAAAAATTACAAACTTTGCTAGCAGCCTTGATACACGCAGGCCAAAATGATCGAGTAGTAAACCAATTAGAATGGAAGCTGAACCTTTCGAAAACGTTACAAGAGTAAAAGCTAAATCGAATAAATTATCTTGTTCTTGGCATATTCTGGTTCCATTTACAGTAGTAAGGTATTCCTGAATTTTAAAATAAAATTCCATACTGATCAAGTTATAAGAACAATGTTTTATTATTACATTATTATTTTTAAAGTTAATATTTCCATAACTGAGGAATATATACAATAAAATATAAAAGTGTTATATATAAAAATGACAAAATACATCTAACAAAAAATAATTAAAACATAAATAAAATTGCTTAATTGTTTAATACATTTAACAACAGATGGCGGCCACGTTGCCTCCCTCATGCCAACTTGCTTAAGTATTATTTAACATTATAGCCCAATAAAGAATCCGGCTGTTCGTTTCATATAGGGAAATAGTTTTTTTATTGTTTAATTTATAAACATTATGGTAGAAATTCAATTAAAAATATGTTAATTTGTAAATAATAATTTAAAAGCAATCTTTTCTAAAAAAAATATGTCATAGCCTGTGACGAAAGAGGATTACAGTACATTTTCATAATGCATTGAGAAATTGATTAACACGAATTATACCAATACATTATAAGCTCTAGCAGACTACCAATACTACCAAAAGCGTGATAATGACATCAATTGTATGCAAAAGTGTATGTTATAATATAATGTATTGTACGCTAATTTGGAATCATAATATAATCTTTACTTTTACGACTGTTATAAGACAGGGAAAGTAGAATATTTTTCTGTAGGTATAGATGTTTGTGTGTGTTTGGGGGAGGCACGATTTAGTTCACGAACTTCGAACCTTCCTGTGCTTTTTGTCCTTGCATCGACCCCCCCTCTAATATACAAACTTCCTTGCAAAATGGTTGAAAATAGAGAGCATTTATAATTTTCTTTTTATACAAAACTCGTCTCCACCCTGAAAATTAAGCGTCTTGACATTTTATAATATTTTGTAATGAGGAAATATAAAACGACGTCAAATTGTGTACACAAAGGTACACTATTCTGATAAAAGAAATGTAGCTTTACAGTGTAAATAACACTGTAAATACAGCTGTACAACAAAAATTTACAGTGCGTATGTTAAATTTAGATTAAATTTCTAGATAAATTTATTCAAAGAAACTGAGGATAGAATCTATATTTTGCTTCATTATCTAAACTATAATTCCAGAAAAAATTACATTTATCCACTTGCATAGAATCTAGCTTATCGTTTCTAAAGTGGTTATATTGATTTAATACAGGTGACAGGTTTTCCTCGAATGTTTCACAGCGGGAAATTATCCAAACATAAAAGCATCCCTAATAATATTGCAAGAGTATTAAATATATTGTATTACTGTAAATAATATATTTTTAGCAGTATAAAATTGAGTGACTATTTTTCGAAAATGAAACTGTATTAGAAATACGTTGTTAAATTAAATATATAATGTGTACAGTCCTATAATTTAGAGTAATTTTTAATGTAATGTAAATGCTATGTTTAAGAAGAAATCAAACTGAATAAATAAGCAAGAATTATAGCAAAAAATATGTAAATTAAACACACTAAAACACAATGAAACAACAATAATTAAGTTCTACAGGAGCTAACACACTTAAAACGTAACTTGTTAATCATTAATAATGATAAGATACGAAAGAATATCCCCAATATAATGGTTCCTTTGACTTTTTTTGTTCCTATGAGTATACTCTACAGCTCTGTTAAGGTCCTAAACGTATCATTCAGAGCTTGAATTAAGCCAAAACTTCATCCATTTGGAAGAATTTGATAATGACATTTTGAGTATTAAGCATACTATAAAATTCTAGTAATACGAGCAAAAATATACATCTTTAATTAACCTAATTAAATGACAAGTGAATTAGATTAACACGTAATTAAGAATATTACGTGTTTTACTTCATTGGGAGACGAACAAATCCATCGAAATAACCCTCGATACAACTAATTTTAAATTAAATTTCCGGTAGACATTTTATTAAGAAAGTATAACAAAAAGTGCAACCGGTATAAGACTAACACAAAGTTTACATCCTGCACGTAGTTTATCGCAAAACACTCATTTACATCCTGTTTCAAACCAATTAACGTTACAGCTTAAGAAAATTGAACTTTTTTTTTTGGTTATAAAATTAAATTTTAAAAAATTATTCTATATTTTACAAAATAATTAAACACTTATCTAGTCACGGCGATGCGAAAAACACCATTTGTGTGCGAGATAATAATTAAAAATATCTAAATATTTTGTGATTTATGATGTTATAAAACAAAAAAAACGATAACACCTGTTCCGTAGACCTTAATAATGCACTCGAGAGTTAATATCAAAATTCTGTTTCGTTACCGAAAACTAAATTTAGATAATTTATAAACCTTCTCAGGCTTTAAATGAGAAGAAAAAAATGAGCATTTACCTCTCGACATCGAGACGAAAAGACTCCTTCTAACTTCATCAAATACACCAAATCCGCCCATCCGAATAGAACACCACTAAACAATAAAGTCTCTACGAATCCCACAAACATTATTAAGAATTTCCGAGATTTGCTATACTCTTCTGGCTTCATGTTTCCCACTGTTAATTCACGAAATTTCGACTAATAAAAACTTATCTTACATTCACGAACAGATAGACGTGAAACACATTGTATTGTTACTACGAAAGTTTCAATATCGAACAGCACCATCTGTTATTAATGGAAGTAATTAACGTTTAAAAAAAAATAAAAGACGTAAAGTTTATTTTCTGATGTCGATGCACTCGTTATAAACGTAATAAAAATAAAATTAATGTAAATTAAAGGATTCTTTTACAGTAAAACCTGTACAAAACGTAAACCTTTCCAAACTGGAAAAAAAAATATTCGGTATCGTGCGATTCCGGTTTATTCAGGTTTCCGTTTTAAACAGGTTTTATTGTATGTATACTGTATAATGATAATTTTAATTATTTCAAGGGTAAAATTTACTGTAAATATTTATTTAATAATGTTATAATGTTTACAAATTTAATATCTGAACTGAAATTACTCAACATTATTATTTATATCAATTAATATATGCTCTTTTTATTTATAGAAGTAATAGATTCTGCACGCAGAAAAACACTGGTGCATAATGCTATGCCAGACCAGGCATAAATACAGAACAAGCTATTATTATATTTACGTGTTTTTCGTGTATGTTTATCTATGTTCAATTTCCTGGTTTACGTATGCTAGCATTTTGAATGTCATATATGTGCTGTTGATGTGTTTCTAGACTTTTGTGTAGTGTACAGTACGTTGTATTTGTACGTTGTGAGTGATACGGTTATATCTATGATGTATGAAATTTTGGGTTAATGTTTACCTAGGTAGTCCAAGATGGCCGCACAGTGGGGACCCACGTTCTAACCTAACCTAACCTATTCTAATAAATTAACAAAATTACTAACGTAAGATGTAAAATAACTCAAAAAATTAATTATATGAAGAAAGGAAAATTTTGTTAATTTATTAGAATAGGTTAGGTTAGGTTAGAACGTGGGTCCCCACTGTGCGGCCATCTTGGACTACCTAGGTAAACATTAACCAAATTTTGTTTTGTTGATCAGTGAATGAGATGTGTGATCATTTGTAATAGATTGTTTCGTCTGTGATTATGGCCTGGTCATAGTATATTTTGTGTGTTGTTTTCTGTGACGTCTGAGGTGTGTATTTTTAGTATGGTGAGAGGAGTTTGCGTTTGCGTGCACACTACTGATGCAGATTGTCTGCTATTGGTTATATCGATGTAAGTAATATGTATTAAAAGCTTGCAACCCACTTTGATGTGAAATTTCTTACAAGCATCTCTTGGGTGTTGTGTCTTAAATATGCTTTTTTAAAATAGGTTTATAATAACAAATTCATATGCCACTACTACATTAAAAAGTACAAATAAACAATGATTAGATCCTCATCCTTCCCATAGTGTGTAATGATGTATTTTTTCGACTCCTTCTACTTAAACTGTACGTGTAATTAATGTACATGCCTAAGCTAAGTATAATGCGCATTGACTTTATTGTTTTATAATAAGCAATAATGTAATCAATTATTACTTTTATTGTTAGAAAAAGTCATTTTAAAATAGCTTTTTATCTATATTTAGCATATGCTATTTTAAAATATTTTACTTTATTAAAGAAAGATTTTGTCAGAAATAAAATAATTTGTCCAAAAATGTCTCGTTGTAACAAAAAGAAGAACAGAATTATAGTTGAGTGAGTGAATTAAATATTATAATATTCATTTAAAAATATATAATTAATTAATTTCTAATTTTAAGACCCGAAGAACTAGTATTTAATGTGAAAGAAGGAGAAACAAGGAAGTCCTTTGCTCTTAAAAATGGAGGAACTGCATCTATAGCCTTTAAGGTTATAAGTATAAACTCTCTAGATGCTTACTATTTACGTTTAAAATAAATTAAAATTTAGGAAAAAAATTTTTAAAAACATTTTTCTAAACAGATAAAGTGTACTAATACGAATGCCTTTAAATTAAAACCAGTTAAAGGAATAATAAAAGGCAAGAGAAGAGTCATGGTAGAGGTATTACTACTAGGTAAATTCATCAAATTAATAATGTATAACATGAATAAATTAACTGAATTTAATCACAGACATTATTAATAAAGATATAATTTTTTAAAATTAATTATATTTAGTATTAATTGTTAGATTCAAGAGCAAATAAAGAAGAGAAATNTTCTTTTTTTTAGGGGCAGGGGCTATTTCCAGGGCCTCACAAATGTGGAATAGACTGAAAGCTGAAAGATAAGACCAACCTATCTAATACTCTGCTAACAAAAGATCAACGGGAATGGTCGCAGCTTCTTTAACTGAATCCGGCAACCAACACATATTGCAAAATCTGAGGATGAGGTAGCTGTTCCCGAGGAGCAGCCACCTCATCCAACCTCATTCACAATTTAAATCCTCGAGATAGCCAGCAATCGTAAAAAATTAAGCCCGAACTCCATCCAATGCCTCAGAGTGGCAAGCCGAAGCAGAAACCGCATAACGTAGTACAGAACAGTTCGTTTCTTAAAGTATGACCGGGTGCAGTACTAGGAAAAGAGAATCTTCGAACTAATATGTCCACCAGTGGTCAATGGATAAAACCACTGAACACTGTTAGTTGGTAGTGGTTTTGCGCCTCACCAACGGGTTGGCCACGTGGAGTTTTCTTGGTGTTCTTTACGTTTGTAACACCTAAATAAGGCCAGTTTCCCAGTGTTTCTCAACCTCTAACGAATGTCGCCCTTTTCAACGTAGTATCTCCCCCTTCATTTCAAAATTTCGATGCCGAAGGCCAAGGCTAACGCCAAATTCGTACTGCATTGACTAATATAATGTTATTTGTTTAATTATTAATTATAAATTCTTTAAATATTTTTAATGCCATTCGGTCAAGTTACAATGGAGCAACAGGCTGGTGAGGAACAGAGACAACATAGCCATATCCTACCACTCTTGAAAATTTCTGAGGTTTTGACCTGTGTTTCAATCCAGATCATTGGACGCATTGCCTATTAAAGCAGATTAAAGGGTTTTTTTTGTTATTCATATCTAATTTAGCACTTTTTTGTATAAGAAAATCCCTTTACAAAAATTCTCGAAAATGTTTTTCCCATAGAAAAAGCATCTGCTGAAGATGGCGTGACAACCAAAGAGGTTACAACCAGAATTAATACAGCTGGATAAGCAAACCAATAATAATACAGCTGGTTTCATTTGAAGTAGACTATGTCATTGGTTTGCATATCCATCTGTATTAAAGCCGTTTTATGAGGCCACAGCCAAAACCTTAAAAAAGAAGCAAATCGCTTATTTATTTCCTCTACTATCGTGGCTTCTTCCATCGTAAATTAAAAGAGTTAATATAGATTATAAGAATTACCCACGATAAAGTTTGTTAGGAGTGTGGGGTTAGGGGGCCGTAAAGATTTATTACGTACTTTTTTGGGTAGAGTCCTGCCACCAAGTGTGTTTTATCGGACACACCGCCGTTTGAGATGAAATGGATGATTAAGGCGCGAGGGTAAGAGTCATTCCGAAGTTCAGGAATGAACCTCTCAGGAGGAAGAATGCAGAGTCAGATATAATCAATTTAAGGGCATTTATTAACATAAACGAAAGTTTACAACAGAATTATGAAAGCCGATTTTGGAAATTTGCCTATTTTTATCTATACAACGAGGGGGTTGCCTAACGGGGGTATTCGAATTTACGCGAATCACAACATACCAGATAAACAAGATGTGGACCTGACGGCCAAGACTGCGGAGATTTCTGGTGTTCGCTGCACTTCGTCGTTGTGCTTGCTCGTTTTTGAGTCGTCCTCTCTTGAACCATTCTTTCTCTGACTGGACTGTGTCCCCATCTCTAACTGAACTTTCTCTGGTTGGAGCTCTCCTTTTAAACCCTTCCAGCATGAGAAAGTTCATCGTAGGGTAATGAATGATTCATTGGCAGTGTCATCATTGTAGCTGAGGCAGTGTTTTCTTATTTGGTGATGACGTCGAGCTTTTGTAGAGTCATCTCTGAGTTGGTGTTTTCTTATCTCTGAGTTGACATGACTCATTTTTGCTCTTAGTCATTGTTTGTTTATCGATTGCTTTGACTAAGTTCTTCATTTAATATGTAAACATTGCCGAAAACAAGGGGGATGCAATGTTCTTCATTTCTATATATATCTTTTATAATCTTCGATTATTTAATTGCTCTTTCCTCTTTTCTTTGGCATGTTGTGAGATTTCTGATAGTTGGATAATAAACCGTTTTATTCTAATTAATTTAAGTTGATATTAAAATTTGGAAAAGGGGGTCCCTAGATTGATAAAACAGGTGAATTTCCTCCTACANGGGGGAAGAGGGACAGGATTAAGGCTTCGACAATGGAAGTGTTAAGTAATAATTGAAGTGTCAACAAAAGAAGTATTAAGAATGGAATGGAAGTGTTAAGAATGGAAGTGTCAACAATGGAAGTGTTAAGATAAAGCGACGTGCAAGATTTACAGACGCAGATGCAGTTTATTTTCGTTTTTGCGAGAAATCGAACATTTTATAATCCATCTAAACATTCTCCAATTAGTCCGGAAACAGGGGGACCTAATTCTTGCATTCTTTGAAAACGGGTAAGATTGACTATAACGTAATAATCTTAATCTTCGCTATCGTTACTTTTTGCCCGAGCAACGCCTGGCCTATCTGCTAGTTGTAATAATAAATAAAAATGCTTTATTGTATAATCAACAAACAACTCTGATTTAAAATATCACATTATACACTTTAATGCAGGGGTGTTGAACCCGCGGCCCGCGGGCCGCATGTGGCCCAAGGCAAGTTCCAATGTGGCCCAATAAACGTGTAAACAAAACCGAGAAATGTTTTATTTTCGTTTTATTTATTTATTTCGACGGCATAAACTCAAAAAAGAAGTTTCACAAAGCCGTAAACTTTTATACATATTTTATTTTTGAGTGAAAAGGAGATATTTTCAAATACTTGGAGATGTGTGAATGACGAAGGAATACTAAATAAAGCTGAAGTTGTGACTCAAAGGATTATAAGACCCAAATTTGAAAAAAGGAGAGAAAGGCCAAAAGATAAAAAGTAGTGAGAAAGGTTAAATAGACCTTCTGTTATGCAAATATTGATCTTAATTTT